TGTTGTGTGTGTGTGTGTGTGTGTGTGTGTGTGAGTGACAGAGACTCTGTGTGTGTGTGCGTGTTGTGTGTGTGTGTGTGTGTGCGTGTGTGTGTGTGTGTTTATGTGTGTGTACAATATATCATGAGTATCTTTTAGTTTCCTCAGTTGTGAAGTGCATGTATTATATTACAATCGAACTGATAACTCAGAGGGTTATATGACGAACTTTGTCTCTATCGACTTGTGCTTAATCTCTCGACTTCCAAGAGTTGCTCTTTCTCTACACGTAGTCAGCTTGAACCCAGTGGTGATGGACGTTGAATCGGAGAAATAAATGAATGAACATAGAGTGTTTATTACATTTTTTAAAAGGATGACGTAGTGTGCGCCAAACACCCTGAAGCGCTCCTTTTCCTCATTGCATTCAGAATAACAAAACCGCATGCACGCTCAATATGAAACACTTCAAGTACAAAATCTCTTCACTGGGCTTTCCTGCATCCCAGATTTTGATCTCAGAGCGTAAGAATGTAAGAATATTATTATGAAAAGCACATCAAACAACTCGACGAGGAGAGTTTTACATACATCTTAACGTTTAATTTAAATTATGTCTTTCAGGCTGCCCTGTTTACACTTTAGGAGCGTATTCTACAAGAGCCTGAAACAGAGAATAAAAAAGGGCTATCTGTAGAAGTGTGTTGGCGGGGGTATGGATTTTACTGATCTTTATCCATTTATTGACAAGCATAATACATTTTGTCGTATTTTTACGGTGTGAATAACCCTGCCCTGACAAGGAAGGGGATTCACCAATTTTGAGTCGCTCTCAGACTTTGGGACGGTAAACAAACGCTGAATGTTTGAGTTACATCCCATATATACATAAAACGCACATACGCACAAACATAATAATATGAAAAGACAGATGCGTACATAGAAAAACATACGTGCGCACATTCACACGCACACATAAACACGGATACACACACACACACACATACGCGCATACACACACACCAATACACACACACACACACACACACACACACACACACACACACACACACCAAGGACTACTACACATACATACACACTTGCACCCCCAGCACACACACACACACACACACACACACACACACACACACATGCCAAGGCTGCTATCAGGCAATACTTTAGGGAAGGAAGCATGCCATTTTGTCACAGGCCCAGTTTTTCACAGTCCCAGTTTGTCACAGGCCCACGACCCCGCCTAGACTGTGCCATACATAATGGAAGTTATCACTGACACTCTCAAAAAGTAAATGAATGATTAATTGATAGTACGAATTTAATTTTATTTTACAACTGTTTTTAACTAAAGAACGTTCATTGTTGAACTTTTACAGAGTAATTTGCTTTGATTTGCATGACATACAAAAAGGAAGAAATATTGAACAACACAAGCTGAATAGATTTTTAAGAGGGAATATCTTTACAACATCAATTTGACGGCAGAGAATCAAACAACTTTAGTTAAGACCACAGTGTTAAAGTGCTATAATTAGGACTGTCATCAATACTCAAACACGTAAATGAAATTGTGACAAACTGGACCTATGTCAAACTGCAGTTTGTCCTGTGACAAACTGGGCCTGTGACAAACTGGGCAGCCCCATACTTTAGTTCCGTTGCTACTAACTGATCCTTTTTTCTTGTAAATTAATTTTCCCAGTAAAACGGGTTATCCACATGTTTAGCATTCAATCACAACTGAGCTGGAATTATTCTGTTGTCTTCTTTCACAACGATTGTTAAGTTGTTTTGTTTTTATCATGTGAGAGGTCTTGTTGAGGATAGTCGTAGTGACTGTGTAAATAGCTTGTGTGGTTTGAATCCTGGCGATGTGGTGCTGTCTTTTGTAACCTTTGTGGGTTTAGATGGCAAAGATATAGCAACAGGTGGAGCAGTCAGCACAGCGGTGCTTGAGTCGGTCGACTCCAGGACGCCCAGCATTACGCATTGGCGGAATCGTCAGGATGTTTTCACAATTTTACGAAAATACGATAGTGACATTCTTGGTTCCGATTTTTCCAAATGTATGTGCCGTTCAGTGATACGTGCAGTTGTCTAACGTAAATTTTCTCGGTGCACAGAGCCCTTGCAAACGCTAGTGTCACTTTGCCCCGGCCTTTGAAAAACGTTTATTGTGCCAACGCCCGGATTGGGTCGCATAGCGAGCTGCAGCAGTCGTCATGGTCTGAGGACAAACATGCTTGACAAGGCGTTTAAAATGACCTGCTTCTGCCATGTGTGAGACGGTTCAGGCCAGTGAGACCAGGTAAAAAAACAGACGACAAGGGATCATAATTTGAAATTTGAAACTACAAGTATTAACTGCGACGCGCAGCATATTATGTAGACTGATACTGCTCTGTTACACATCCAGGATTAAAAGCTTATGGCGTGTGTGCTTTTTGTTGTTGCTGTTGTTGCGTCTGTTTCTTTTGTTGTTCCAAAATTCAAACTCAAGGCCAATAACTACCTGTCCTTACACCCCTCCCCCCCTTCCAACCCCTACTCCCTTTTGCGAACCTTAACTCGAAAAAGACAAGCCCTCCAAAATCTCTTCCATCCCACTTTTGTTGACGTCACATTCATCCTTTACTAGTCCTGCCCCTGACACCCGAGAGGAAAAAGGTGTCCATGGCTATATTTGAATTTTTCAGCAAGATTACTTTTGAAAAGTTTGCTCATTACTAAAACATGTATAGTGGTGAGTGGGCAGCCCTGAGACTCATTATACGCAGTCTGCGTTTCTTTTGAAAAACAACTGAACAAAGAAGTGAATGTTGATGTTGAAAAATCCGAAATGTTTGTATGTAGTGTTGTGTTTTAAATGACCGTTCTGTTGTGGTAGATGCTGTATTTTCTGATGTTTGAATTATCCTTTCGTCTGCTGGCGGGTTGGGGGGGGGGGGGGGCAATGTTTGTTTTTGTTGATTATGAAACTGTTTTGCCCTAGATTCTTGTGTTATTTTGGCTTAGGTTCTTGCTACCCATCCTCGATATTTCATGCTGGTAACAAACTCGACAGTTTTCCATGGCTGCTCAATAATCTGTCGTGAGATAGGCGCTGCTTTGTGCAAGTTCGGAATTTTTAAAACTGCACGAAGATTGTTTTTGTATGTATGTATGTATGTATGTATGTATGTATGTATGTATGTATGTATGTATGTATGTATGTATGTATGTATGTATGTATGTATGTATGTATGTATGTATGTATGTATGTATGTATGTATGTATGTATGTATGTATGTATTATATCACACACACACACACACACACACACACACACACACACACACACACACCTATATATATATATATATATATATATATATATATATATATATATATATATATATATATATATATATAAAATTACATCTGGGTGGGCAGGAGGGGGCGAAGAAAAATCCGTGTCCGAGACGAGGCTCAAACCCGTGCTTTCCGCTTCGGAGACGAACACAATAACCGATTCGCCATCGCATCCTCTTTGGGATCGGGTATCTTCTTTTATTTATTACCGCACCCAGAGTAATAATATAACAAATGCTTAAAACAGGCAGAAGCCTATTTGTCAACGACATTTCGGGTAGGTTTTCACGTCCACAAGTCGTAAACATCTCATCCTTACACTAAAATTCCTGCGCTATCTGATGTTGAGCCATATCGGATGGATACCCCGAATTGTAAAGGAAGACCACGAGGTGTCAGCATTTCGCAAAAACGACCTACTCTTGTTAGGGCGCTCTAGTGACCTGATTTTGAGGTTATTGCTCTATTTAATCATGGGCAAGGAAGCCGCATGCAGGATGATGATGCCTGGGGTTTATATGCCCAAGCGGAGTTTCTTACAGAAGGACGAGGTCATACTTTTTCTGGTCACAGAACGAAGGCAGGGTAGTTTTTAGTGAATCCTAGATTTTGGCCTTCCTCTGCAAGTGGTCTAGA